AGACCGATATTGCTGATAAAACTATAGATGTTGAGGTTGTTTCTTGTGAAGCACAGACTGATGTACTCAATAGAGCTACAGATGTTGAGGTAATGTCTTGTGAAGCACAGACCGATATTGCTGATAAAACTATAGATGTTGAGGTTGTTTCTTGTGAAGCACAGACTGATGTACTCAATAGAGCTACAGATGTTGAGGTAATGTCTTGTGAAGCACAGACCGATATTGCTGATAAAACTACGGATGTTGAGGTTGTTTCTTCTGAAGCATGGACTGATACTGTCGATAAAAATAAAAAGGTTGAGTTTGAATTGCGTTATAAGGTAGATATTGATGATGATACCATTAAGGACAACAGAGCTACTGAGCTTATAAATTGCTCTATAGATATGCATTCTTTTCTAAAGCATACTGACAGTAGTAGGTTCCAAACAGGTGGAAGTAATGAATATAGGAAAATGTTACGAAGAAAGCTAACGGCATTGAAAGAATACTTGCAACAAGAAAAGAGCAGGAGAACATTTTCGGAAGGCCAGCTGGTCATGAAAGTAGAGGATATGAAAGATATTGAATCCGATGCATCGGGTATTTATGATCAACTTTTGGAATTAGAACATGAGGTAGGATTTCTTGATATGAGTATTCAAGATTTGACAGTAATGTTAAATAGAGAGAAAATGGAAAATTTTCATCTGAAGCAGAGACTTGGTAAGCTGGAAAATCCTGCTGATGAGTCTTTACTTGAAAGAGTTTGTTCTACCCGAGCAAATTTAGACGACCCAAAACCAGAGAGTGTTGATTCTTCAGAGGATATATGGTCTGGCCTAGAAGGATATCAATCTGCTTATGATAATGTTCACAATCAGCTAAAGACTCTGACAAGAGAGAGAGAAGAATTAATGAAGAGTTGGGAAACTTATAGCGATGAGCGAAAGACTCTTATTGCTATGAAGTCTGACTTAGAGTTCCAGATAAAAAGTGGAAAGTCGGAGTTAGATAATATGAAGCACAATATGGAGGCAGTAGAAGAAGAAAACCAGATGCTTAAAGAAGCATTCTTCAAACTGCTAAAGACCTCGGAGCTTGGGAAGACAAACAGTTTTAATGGAGAAGCCATTATGCAAGAACTGATAAATTGTAATTTCAGCTTGAGGAGTCCTGGTTTAAATAATGAAGAGGTACTCACTGAATATAAAATTAACACTTCTGGGGAGGATCTTGGTCGAGAGAGACTTCACTAGCCCAAATAACAGACACAAGACATACTGACACTACCAAGCTTCCTTTTCATCATTCTTGTGAATTTTGGAAGCTGCTAAAAGATCATCATGAAGTATTACAGAAGGTGGAAGATCTAAGTCGTATCAACAAGGAATTGGAATTAGAGAAACAAACAGCTTTTCTGGATCTGTCCGAAAGAGAGAAAATAAAAAATTTGGATGGTGCGTCACAAGAATCTTTTATGGTTCTAATATGATGCAAGAACCAAGTTTTGATGGAGAAGTGTTTGATGAGACTGCTAATTCTTTCAAGGAATTGAAGTTTGAGAAACAAACAGCTTTTCTGGATCTGTCTGAAAGAGAGAAAATAAAAAATTTGGATGGTGCGTCAGAAGAAACTCTTATGGTGTTTAATATGCTGCAAGAACCAAGTTTTGATGGAGAAGTGTTTGATGAGACTGTTAACTCTTTCTTCTGTAGAAATAACCTTGCTGGTTTTAAGGAAACATCAGAAGCTGAGAAAATGGAAGAAACCTCGACTGACAGGACGTCAAAAGCATTAGAGGCAATCTCGGATAATGAGTATTTAGTTCTTAGGTCTGGTTCTTGTGAAGAAACAGTCGTAAATCAGAAACCTGGTCAGGACTCGGGTGCCGAATCCAACAACAAAGCTGTGTTAATCTGTGTAACACCAGTTGCCGGACACGACATTAAAGAACGCTGTGCAGGTTTAGAATGTGCACACGAGTCTGAAGTGGAACTTTGTACAGTGTATAATGATATATCACCTCAGGGTATTACTAAAGGCTCTCCATCTCCTGTATTGCTGCAGCTACAGTTGGAGAAAGAGCAGGAGAAACTTAAAGCTTTAGACATGTTCTAAACTTATCAAGATCTAAGAACTTCTGCTGAGATGACATTTTGTGCTGTATATCATTTTCAACACAACAATATTCTTTGGTAAACCAAACACACATAGATGTCTTCCAAATTTCCATTTGTAACCTCTGCTGATAAAAGTCTTCCATAACAGCTGCCCAAAAAAGATGTTCTGTTTCTAATGTGTGTTTTTCATTTAAACTGTGTTTGCAGTGACCACAGTTTATAGGATCTATGTCTTCTAAGTTATGTGAAGTCTTTTTAAGTGGAACATCGGAGTTCTCCTGCAAATCTGACACAGGTGGAAGATAATGGAGTTCCAAATTATTTTTAAGTGTTCGAGACAATTTACGTATCTCTGTCCTCTCTACAAGTTCTTCCTGTTTATGGTTTTGTTGAAGCTGTTTGTAATGAAGAAAAAACGAAAACTGAACAAGTAAAACAAAGTGATGATCAGAAAGAGACTCCAGATGAAGCTTGTAGCTTCGAAAGTGAACAAAGAGAAGGAAATCTGGAGACATACCAATATCGTACTGAAGACACTAACAATTATCAGCAAGAACTGAATAATCTCAATTCAATGCTTGAACAAAAAACTAAAGAACTAGTTAAACTTGAGAAAGATTTCAAAGGGCAGGAAAATGAACTTTGGAGTAGGGTGAAAGAAATGGAGTTACTTCTTGAGACAGCTGAAAATTCTAAAGTTGGGATGGAAGCAACTGTTGTGGAATTGGAACACAAATTGACTTCGAAAGAAAATGAATTTGCTGAACAAATTCAAAACATGGAAGAGCAGCTGTCGTTTGACAATTGTGTAATTAGTAACCTGAAAAAGGACGTCAGTGTCGTACAAGAAGAACTTCTTACAGTGAAAGAAAAGAGTAATCAAATAGTAAAACAACTTAAGGAACAAATGGAGAATCTAAACGACAGTGAGATAAATAAATGTCAAGATGATAGTGGTAACTCCAGACCATTTTTATTTGAAATTGAAGATCCTGTTAGTCTGCTGGAAACATTTTTCAAACTAGTGGTAGCTAGAGAGGCTAGGTCGATTGAAGGATTGAATGGTGAGCTAGAGAAATGTAAAAAAGAATTAGATAATAAATTTCAAGAACAAGCGGAACAGGAAAGGAAGGGAGAAGAATTGGTTAACGAAATTAATTTAGTGAAGGCTTTGCTAGAAGAGAAAGAAGTATCTCTTGCTTTACTTACAGAAGAGAAAGAAGAGGAGAGAATAAAAAATATAGAAGAGTTGGAAAGAAAATGGCAAGATGAAGTAGAGTCAATACAGAAAAAACAAGAAGAAACACTAGAATTACTGAAGATAGAACATGAAAGTGAGAAGGAGTTAATTAAAGAAAACTTGTACGGAAACTATGAAATGCAGATTACAGAATTAAGAAAAGAAATTGAAAGAAAAAATTGGGAATTTGAACATTTAGTGTCAGAACAAGAATGCGAGTTGAAAAAGCTGAATGAGAAAGAGATGAATGAACTGAAAAGGAAAATTATTGAAGAAAATGAAAACCAAATAACTATTTTGCAAAAGGATATTAAAGATAAAGAAATAGAACTTGAACTTTTAAAGACAACACACGAAGAAAAACTACAGCCTTTTCATCGTTTAACTTCTTTACGTATTCTTCGTGTTTCATTGCTAAAGTTTTCAATTCCTCATCTTTCTCCAAAACTTGATTTGTTAGTTCCGTTATCTGTAAGTTGTATTTTTTATTCAAATATCTGTTCTCGCTCTCTATTTTAAGAGGAAAAGAGAGAATTGAAAATCAAATTATCAGAAGAGAATGAAAACCAAATATTTTCTTATCGTAAGGAGATAAAAGAAAAGATCGAAGAAATTATGTTTTTAAAGATAAAACATGAAGAAGAAATAGAAAGAATCAGACATGGAATGGAAAATGAAAAAAAATCTTTGAATGATGAATACAGTTTGGAAATTTCACAGTTAAAAGAACAGATTAGAAAACAAAATGAGGAGCTTCAGAGCGTGATGTTGCAGAATGAGCAGGAAATAAAGAAGACGAACGACCAGAAAGGAAACGAGACGAGTGATCTTGATTCTGAGGATAATAAAAGCAAAATAGATGCTCTGTGTAGAGAAATTGAAGAAAAGGTAAAAGAACTTAATCACTTAAAAATGAAACATAACGAAGAACTCCAAACTATGAGACAGAAAATGCAAACTGATAAAGCGGCTATGCTAAATGGACTACTCAGAGAAAATCAAAAGTACGTGGACCAGTTTAAAAAAAATATGAATGAGAAGATTAAAGAATCTGTGAAAATGGAGGTTCAAGCAGCTAAAGAAAGTGCTTGGAATCAATACTGTAATGAAATTAAAGAAAAAGACAAGATTCTAAAACAGTTGCAGGAAGAGATAGAAGCATACAAGACCCATCTTAAAGACGTGAACACCAAGTTGGTTCCAAACTTTGGAGGAGCTGGAAACGTGAGTACAATTTTACTAACTTATATATTTTTTTTTTAGTCAGAGAATTAATGATGCAACAGTTTCAAACATGGCTGTAAATATGTCGGGAATTTAATTCTTAGTCACATAAAATGGTGTTTCATATATGTGTAACGGTGGCGATACTAAGGTTTACACTTTCTTGTGTCCTAACATAGTTACTATGTTGTTATTGGTGTTACGCCTTTTTGAATCGTTTGAGTTGCAGATCTAATAAACTTTATGTAACTTTAGGTTTCTGCTCTTTTTAATGTTTAACTGTTTTTAACAGGAAGAATCCACATTTTAACCAATATTATTGATGAGGATAATATGTAGAAGAAAGTGTGTTACGTAAAATTCAGTAAGTTACTGCACTGTACTGCTATACATCTTGTATAAACATTCGGTTGACATATTTATAGCGTACTTTCAGTTGTATGAACTGCTTACTAAATTTTACATTTCCTAGCTAGAAAAAAGTCACACACACTCTCGTATTATAGTGTATCATCCATAATTTCAGAAGAACACCGAGATTTCATCCACTCTTGGAAAGGTAACCCAAACTACTGCTTGTTATCTGGACAAGAAACAGTTTATTTCATGTGTGGATTATATAACCATGTTACACAACACTAACACAGTAGGCATTGTCTAATTTAACCATGTAAAACAACACTGACACATTAGACATTGTCTAATATAACCATGTAAAACAACACTGACACATTAGACATTGTTTAATATAACCATGTTACTCGACACTTACACATTAGACATTGTCTAATATAACCATGTTACTTAACACTGACATATTAGACATTGTCTAATATAACCATGTTACTCAACACTGACACATTAGACATTGTCTAATATAACCATGTTACTCAACACTGACACATTAGACATTGTCTAATATAACCATGTTACTCAACACCGACACATTAGACATTGTCTAATATAACCATGTTACTCAACACCGACACATTAGACATTGTCTAATATAACCATGTTACTCAACACCGACACATTAGACATTGTCTAATATAACCATGTTACACAACACCGACACATTAGACATTGTCTAATATAACCATGTTACACACCACCGACACATTAGACATTGTCTAATATAACCATGTTACTCAACACCGACACATTAGACATTGTCTAATATAACCATGTTACTCAACACCGACACATTAGACATTGTCTAATATAACCATGTTACTCAACACTGACACATTAGACATTGTCTAATATAATTAGTGTTGAGTAACATGGTTATATTAGACAATGTCTAATGTGTCAGTGTTGTTTTACATGGTTATATTAGACAATGTCTAATGTGTCAGTGTTGAGTAACATGGCACATTAGACATTGTCCACAGTGAATCACGGAACATCACTTATGAAGATGAGGGCACTGTGACTTCCTTTCTCACATACACTCGTGCAGTCTTCTGTTCCCAAGGTCGATCTGGCTGGCATAGGATAGTCTTACCTTCCTTCCAAACGTCATCCTGGTGAAGGCATCAGTAGCATAGGTTTTGGTTTTGATATGTAAACCATGGATGAACTTACCATTCACTAATTGTGTAGATGGTTGGTTGAACCTTTACTGCCTCAATTGGATAGTCTCTTTGAAGTGAAGTCACTGCTACAATATTTTTTCCTTTCTTACCAGTTGTGCCACATGACACTAGAAACTACCCGAGTAAGCTATAATAATTAAACTTAGTATTCTGAAAAATTGTTTAATCTCAAAGTCTTTAAGTTCAAGAGATGTCCACTTCAATCTACAATTTGTGTTTAATCTCGAAGTCTTTAAGTTCAAGGGATGTCCAGTTCAATCTACAATTTGATCAGTGTTCAAGGGATGTCCAGTTCAATCTACAATTTGATCAGTGTTCAAGGGATGTCCAGTTCAATCTACAATTTGATCAGTGTTCAAGGGATGTCCAGTTCAATCTACAATTTGATCAGTGTTCAAGGGATGTCCAGTTCAATCTACAATTTGATCAGTGTTCAAGGGATGTCCAGTTCAATCTACAATTTGATCAGTGTTCAAGGTATGTCCAGTTCAATCTACAATTTGATCAGTGTGTGTTATTGGGTTATACTAGTTTTGAAGAATTTCATCAGTAACCCTGAACACAAGTTAACTAGAGAGAGATAAGCTGGACTTGTATCATAGTGAAAAGTATTCAACATCTATTCTTATCCCTGCTATTGTGCTGCTATATGATGTTAAGAACTGAACAGTGGCCATTGTCAGTTTATCTTCACTTCACATATCCAGTGTATAGGTTTGATACCTTCTTATCCAGGTGATACAGAATTGTCACACTGGGTAGCTCTTCTCCAAACTTATCAATGTTTTCTACCGATACCACTGCAGGGTTAGTTATGAACCATCGGGTAACAACAAATCAGTAACCGTATGAAATCCTTTGTACTGTATCACCCAGTCTTTCTGTTGTAGAAGAAACCTGCTGTGGTGTATGTGCTAATATGAAGAGGTCACCTCGGTTATAATATTACGTTAGTACATCCTGGTATACATTTTAATGTCTTCAAGTAACAGTACTGTGTACGTAGTATCCACTGTGTGTACAGTATTTCTAAAGTTCAAGGCAATCTCCCGTATAATTACTCCTCATAATAAATGTTACTTTTCATCCCACGTGTGAGGTTAAATTCGACAACACTGTCTTGTGTGGACCCTCCTTTCCTAGATGTCTCTCACATTTTATCATTCCAGCTTCGTATTTTGTACCCTAGTTTTATTTAACTGTTCTTTAATGACTAGGCTACTCGTTCATTTGATGGAACTTTAAAAGTATGAAAAGAATATGCTGTTGAATTACACATACATTTTTTAATCTTTCAGATCCCGCCAGACACAACCCAGTTGTCTAACTTAAAAGAACTAGAAGAGGCAAGAAAAGATTTAGTGAAGTTAAACGAGGAAGTATCGGCTTTAAATTCAGAAAAAGAAGCCCTGGAGTCTCAGGTATTTCATCGTGAATGTTTTATTAATTGAAATTGATTTTTTTTTCTATATTTGCATATTTTGAATTGTGAGAAAATTACTGAAAATGTTTAAAATTTTGCACACTATGATATTATTTTAATTCTCTATATAATCTGTGGAAATTTTTTTCTTATTTGTTCTGTGAATCACAGTCTCTCCGATTCAAAATTCTTTTAATATCCCTCGTTACCCAATCATTGTTGCTGTTGTGGGGTTCACAGAGACTATTTGTTGGATGCCCCCCTTACTCGTCAATATTGCTCTTGTGGGGTTCATAGAGATGAATATTTCATGATTATTTATCTAAATGTACAACTATATATTGTCAGCATTTTCCCTATCCTACTGAAAATAGATTGTCCACTCTTGAGAACACTTAACATAACCCAGTGAGCTGTAGTAAAGAAAGAACTTGGTATAATATTCAAAGTAGCCAGTTACTGGGGTTATATACAGTGTTTACATGATTTTCTGAACTTTGACCATCCCTAACCTTAATAGATCACTGCTGCAATGTACAGTGCTTGAATACATAAAAATGAGAATTTATGCTGATCTAGACCCCCAAAAAAAAATTACTTTTGAGATCAGTACAGATTCAAGAAGAAAATTTGGTGGGATAAAGGGGTAGGAAAATATTTGGCAGCCCCCTAACCGCAGGCCTACTTTCCTTGGATTTGCCTGTTGTATAATACTCTGAACTGATATCTGTCTAGTAATTAGTTACTAGTGTATTTTAAACGGAGAGCAACACATCTGATATTTACAATTTTCAGACACGTTTAGTCTCTGGTGATAAACACGCAGTTCTGCTTTGTAGTTATTTAGAGAATAAGTACTGATGCTGTTATTACACGTGGACTTAGTGTTTTCTGTGGCATAGAAACGGCTCTTTTCTATGTGTTTTTTAAACGTAAAGTTTGACGTAAAAGTCAGTTCTTTTGTTGGAACTTCAGTGAATGTGTGTTTGTTTAGTTATTGATTGGATTTCAGGCTTTGTAAAGACCTCTGAAGTTTTTTTTTGTATTAAATTTTATGTTGACACGGTCTTACAATGATAAAATCTTAGACCGTTACCACAGGTCTGAAGAAGTTTGGAATGTTTTATGTAAGAGAATCCAAAATGTATTGCTATTTATTGTCACTTTTTTTGAGAATGAATTCTGTTTCAGGTACAAGAGTGGAAATCCCAGTATGAGTATATGGATCAACAACGTTTGATAATGAGTGGCTTTTTAACACAATACAGGGAAAAATCGGAAAAACAGAGCCAAACGAAGGTGGAAACCGACCCTTCATTAGTTCTCGGAGAGGTATGTAATGAAAAACTGACTTAGATCAAGTTTAAGGAGCATGGAAGTGGTTTGTAGTAATATGTCTGATATATATTCAAGTTAGATTAACCCAGAAAATAAGATGATCCTGCAGGTGGGCTGCAGTTTATTTTCAACCAGTCAATACCATTCAGGAAGCATGTGCATGCCTGTATTGCAAATTTCAAACTTGAAGTACGTATAATAACCCTAGCTCTAATTCAAAAATATTTTGTGATCTTGTAACATTTTTATTTTATTTTATTTTTCTAGAGAAAATGGACAAAATATTCAATCTTATAAAGCTGTTTAGATCTTGGTTTCATCCCTTTTATAACCTTACAGTGGGTAATTGAACAACTACTAAAGAATTCATTTATCATAATAGCTACAAATCAAATCATGGAAGGGTTAAATAATACAAAATAATTTACATTCATGCAGAACCATTTATGCAAACATTTAAAAATTAAGCTTATTAGTTATATCACCACGAATATATTTGAACACAATTAAGTAGAAAGTTTGATTTTTTTTCAACATGGCATAAACACTAACACTGATATTTTGTATAAGAATCATGCTTAAAACTATTTCAAAACTAACTGGAAGTTCAGCAGGAATTATTGATAAACAAGATCCTCTTTCTGTTGCACTGCATTTTCAAATACTTAAATGATATAGGTAAAACACTGGTATTTTAATCTGGGTTTTCTTGGAAATGTGAAGTTGGCAGCAAATTAAATAGAGACGTTCAAATTGAAATGCTTGTACTCTTATTTGTCATGATAACTTTTCATTTGATCAATACGAAGTTAAACTTCCAGACTTATTGCTGCATTTCATCACAATTGTCACCATGTTGTGATCTACATTATGTAGCTAAAAATTGAAGTCTGTTGTTTAGTAAATAAAACTTTTCCTATACCACTATATTCCACATGCATATTTAATATTTTTTGTGCTGTAATCTTATGCATCTTCATTTTTTAGCTTGTGAAAGTGTCAGAAATTTTACTTTTTTTCGTAATATATATAGTAATGTAAATATATGGGTGTGTTGGCAAAGGATTCTTCTACAATAGGTGTCTGTGACTTGTTGGCGATAATTTTGACAACCGTAATATCCATAGTGTAGAGTTTTGTACATACATTCAACTTGTTTCTAATATATATATGTTAGAAACAACTTGAATGTATGTACAAAACTCTACACTATGGATATTACAGTTGTATCTTAAACACTATACAGTTTTCTTCTTGTCAAAAGTCCACTTTGCCCAATCCAATTACTTTAGAATTCAGTTGACAAGCTGAACTATTTTTCTCTATTTTATCGAAATTGTATCCGTGTATAATTCACTTATGCTGTCATGTGAGTTACTGTAGTTGTATCTTGAATTTCCAATAACCGTCTTGTTTTCGTACTTTCAATAATCATCTGCTCTTCATACTTCCAATAATCGTCTTGTAATCAGTGTGGTGGTATACTTTTATTAGTCTTTCGTCAAACATGTAATAATTTTTTTTATTTTTTCTAAAGCGTGAGTTAAAGCCTACTGGTTGTAAAAGAGATTGGAGTTAATGTATATGTTTCTGCTTCAGCACTTTCCATACATAAGTTCCTTTTTGTTTTGCCAAAGATTTCTGGGAACAAGAGTAACTTGACAGACCAGAGTAATGCCGTCCAGTTAGAACTCACAGAAACAAAGCAGTTATTGAACCAACTCAGAGAAAAACTTGAACAGAAAGATAAAGAAGAGATTCAAAAAGAGGTAGATACATTCTCAGTTTTGGATATCTTTATGTAAAAATGAGGTCTACTTACAACTGGCAGGGAGTTTTAGTTGACATTGAATGATTTACTGTACACTGCTGCTGTCTTTGGTTTTAGGGATGTTGAATTATTTACTGTAGACTGCTGCTGTCTTCTCTGGTTTTAGTTGACATTGAATAATTTACTGTAGACTGCTACTGTCTTCTCTGGTTTAGGGATGTTGAATAATTTACTGTAGACTGCTGCTGTCTTCTCTGGTTTTAGTTGACATTGAATAATTTACTGTAGACTGCTGCTGTCTTC